GATGTGCAAAACTGAAGACACTCAAATACAGGATCTAACCAAAAACCAAAGTTGGGGCTTGCAAAATACAACACAAATCCATCAGGGCATTTTACTCCAACTAAAATGCACCAGGGTCCAAGACTGGTACCACCTGATCATCGTAACGAACCCAACAGCAGACCTTCCATTACAAAGCAATGAAGAAAATCTTGCAGAAAAATGATGCAGAGAAAGCATCACACTAGGTAGCAACCTGCCCACAGGATCAGGAATTGGGAGCGTGGGTATGGGCCCTAGAGGAGCAAATTCAAATGTACAGGAAGTCTGATCCTGAGCAAATGCCAAGAGAGAAAAAGGGGGGGAAGCACTATTTTGACAACACCTAGTAACTTGTCATGGCAAAGTACTACTGAATTGTTACTCCTTGGTTGCCTTTTAGACAGTTGAAGGCTCAAGTGCAATGGTTGGAGAAGACAGCTACTTGCAAATATGAGCAGGCTCTGATGTACCTGGAGTACCTTACAGGCACCAGCTGGAGCAGTCTTATCCTTTGAAACATCTCTTCACTCAGGCAAAACCAAATAAAAATTAAAAACAAAACAAAACAAAAAAACATACTGGCACCTGTTCTTTAGCCCTGTAGAAACAGCACAGCTGCTGTACAAGGAGCTGGAGCTCCTGGGCTCATGCATCAGCAGACTGGTGAATGCAGAACCAGCATTCCGGCTGATGCACAAGCAGGGCAAGACTCAGCTCCTGGGTCCTACTAGGAATGCTCAATTCCTGAGTCCCACTAGGAGGCACAGCTGGCTAAAAAAAGTGCTTTTTCTTGTAAAACATACTAGCTTGGTCTGGAGTCACTGGAAGAAATGGACACTTTGGTGCCATATTTTTTTCCTCATTGTCATTCAGAAATATAACCACCCCGATCTAAACTGCTCACATTGAAAAATCTAGCTAACTACCTCTGGGCTTGTGAACTGACCATGATATTAGGGCTCCTTGTAGCAGCTGGTACCTAGAAGGTGCAAAGTGCCTCTAGGAGTGCAGGAAAAACCAAGGCATGCAGATTTGAGGAAGCTCAGAGAGGCACATGGGCAAACTCTATGGGTGAACTGGGAACGTCAAAACACAGGCCCTTTGAAGCGAGGCCCAGGATCCAGTGGAGAGAGATGCGGTGGGGTGAGTTGCACGTGCAACAGAGGAAGAGGAAGAAGCTACAGGGAGGCTCCCGGCCTTGCAAGTCCACATCTCTTGGTTCTGAGTCCATATGAGAGCATCTCTGAATCACTCACTCATTGAGCTCTAGCACAAAAGGAATCCAAAAATAGACACTTTCCAAAGAGTTACAAAACGGTCTGTGTTTGCGAGGCTCACAGCCGCACTGAGAAGTCAGAGGTTGAGGACAGGCACGTCAAAGAGGTCACAGACACCTTCACTCTCATCCAGGTTATAGATGTAGTCGTGATCTCCAGGTGGAGGGGAGAGGCGGAGCAAGGGAGCAAACACTGGGGAAAGAGAAGCCCATGGTTGGTTACAAAACTCATCACTCCCACACTTAGCCAAGAGCTGCCAATGGGCGCTGAGCTGCGGAGCCACAAGGAGGCCACCTCACAGTAACAGTCTTTGAGCTTCAAATCGGCCTTGCGATATGAAAGAGACAGGCTCTCCTGGTCCTCACACCTCTCTCGGGGACTGGCAAGACACTGAGAACAGAGTCTGTGTCCAGAGCCCAGAAGAGATGAGGGCAAGCCTGCAGTCACAAGACTGTCAGCTGGGTAAAGTCACACAAGACAGTCTTCCTCCCCTGGAAAGGCCACACCATGAAGGGGTGACTCAAAGACTCACCTTCTGAAGACATCAGCTCTTCCAGCAGTTCAGAGTTCATACATTCTGGGGAAGAGACAAGCATGGTTAAGCAACACACTCTGCTCTCCTGGTCTGCTCCTGTGCAGTACCCCACCCTTCCCAGCCTCTTCTGGCCCTCACCCTTTTTACCCACAGTGTGTGTGGCAGGCACTGGCGAAAGGAGGCTTGGGCCTTCTGCCATGCGCAAAGGGAAATCAGTGTCAGACAATTCAAGCTACATCAAAAAATTCTGCAGGAGGTTTCTGCCTGCTTTAGCTCAACCATACACCAGTCTCCTTCATGTGACAGGCTGTGCCTTACTGCTGCACTGGCATGCTAGCTGGTGCCCCAAACTCCTCCAGAGGAAACTCTTCAACACGCACCAGGAATTGAGCTGGTAAAGCCTGATATATTCAGTCCTCAATTACCCACCAGCTTTGCTAAGGGGACAAAAATTAAAAGCCAAATGAGCTGTTCCAGGAGCAGTAGAACTAAAGAACCTCCAGTTTCCTCCAGATTTGTATCCTTTGTCCCCCTAATTTGCCTCCCCTTGCCCCATGGCTGTGCTGTGGCTAATCCGGCCACGTGCCCTGGAAGATTCGCTGGCTGCCCACTGCCAAACAGAATGAACATCCGAGCTCTGCATATCCTTCCTGAATGGGCCATTAACTCTGCTCCCCCCCTCTACCGCCCATGCAAAACTGTAAAAAAATTAATTATCTCTGAAATGTCATCCCTTCCTCCAGCGTTGTTACTCTTCACTAGTAGGTTCACGAGGCACTTGAAGGATAGACAGACAAGCACCCAGACAAAGCACATGCAAGTCAATCTCTTTTCTTTAAGAAGCTGAGCGTTTGAAAACAACTTTCTGAATACCTCTCACTTTACCAAGTTAAGATTGTGAATATCTAACTCAGTCTAACTGGGTTGATACTACCCACACTTGAAATAGGCTTTCACAAAAGAAACTCAGATGAGCCCGTTTTCAAGACGCTTATCCACAGCAGACTATTTCCTAGAGGACAGGAACCTACCTGTCTAACTCAGTGCCAGGAGATGAGAGAATTTCAACACCAAGTGACTAGACAAGACTAATACCAACTTCAACAAATAGCAATGAAATGCAGAACCTGTGTTCTTAGATCAGGGCTGGTAATACAGCAGGGTATGCATATGTGTGTGTTGAAATTCAGTTTTTTTCCAGGATATGAGTTTAAAACAAGCAGTTATTAAGCACCCATTTAAAAGAGAGAGAAAACCAGGCAGAAAAAGTAATTCCAATACAGAACACTAAGGAAGAACTCTAGGGTCTTGCAGCTTAAACTGCATAGCCTTAAAGCAGCAGCATCAGGGCGTCATTACTGGGATCACACACGGATGAAAGAGGCTGCATGGAGCACGCTGCAAGGCCCATTTCTCCAAGCTCTGTAGTGTTGCTTTTTTCCAGTCTTGAGCTTTGCCTGTCGACTGTTTTGTCCTTCACTCCTCTACCTTCCCTCTCCAAACTGGGAAGAATACTCCATAAAACAACATACATTACTGTAGACAGCAAACATCTCCTTTTTAATAGTGTCCACATAGTCCTATAGTATAGTTAGTTTGGGTTAAATTGGATCTTCTACACAGGCTGGGGCCTTGCAGCAGTTTATGTTTCACATTGTGAAGTCAAATTTACTCTTCAGATGCATTCAGTCATTACCAAGACTTTATCCACTGTCTACAGCAGTGGGAGCTGAGCAAGGGGGAAAGGTGTTCTCCAGGCCAACTGTGGAGCCCAGGGCTCCTAGCACACAGATCAGATGGTTGCACGTGTGCATTTGAGACTGTGGGGTTTTTACACAAAGACAGCACTTCCACAAAGCACCTTCTAGAGCACAGAACTAAAGACAACTAAGGACTGTTGTACATATCCTGTCAATACCACAAAAGTGCTTGTGTGTACTTGGCTCTGCCTAGCTGCGGGGCTAGAAAGTATTCCACCAGCACTGAAGGGAAATAAATGTGCAGATAAAAAGGGTTTCCCAGTTTAGACTTATGTTAGACCACATTCCTTCACCTCTCCTGCCCTTAGTCCCAGAGTCTGTCTCACCATTAGGCAGCTGCACTCAGACATTCCTTGGGCAGAGGCAGAACTCCTAACACAAGTAACAGCATCTCCTCCCCTACTGCTCCAAAATTACTAGCACCATCAAAACCATGGAGGGATATTTTGAAGAGAGAAGACTATCTCCCTAGATTATTTGCTTGGATTAGCCTTGGGCAGGCTACAGCTGAAACAAGACAGGGATTTTTCTTGTGTGCAGACAAGCTGGAGAAGGAGCATAGGAAGCCAGAGCACAGATTAGCATTGGCATGTGGGGAAAGCACATATCTACACACTGAAGGGCAAATTCTTAACAGAGGTTGCTGGCAATGCGAAGACAGAAAAATACATACAGAAACCAGTAACGTTAAGAGTGCTTAACTACAAGTAAAGAGCCAGCAGCCACCACCAACCACAAGCACCTTACAAAACCACATCCCCAAAATAATCCAAAAGGGAGTGAATAAAACAAACTGTCCCACTTCTGTGGGTAGATGGGCACAGAACGAAGCCATGGTCAGGGAGTGAACATACCTCTCGTTGGATCAAACATCTCTGACAGCTCTTTGGGAAGTTCCAGTACTGCAAATACAACAAACCAAATGGTTTGCATTGTTACACGAAGAGTCTGAAATGCTTTACAGCATAATCACCTACTGTACTCCTTACACACCCAAATCATCCCATGCCATCCAGAAATTCTGCTCCCACACCCCATGTCACATAGTTCTGCTGAAAGGATAAGCAATAAAATACTTAAGCTCAACTGCTTCAAAATAGATCTGTGGAAGCCCCAGGACATGAACATGTTATCAGTCAGCAGCTCTAGAGTAATTGCCTGTATGTAAGCCTCACACAGCATCAGTTTCTGTACACCACCTCGATTTATCTTGTGTAGGATGAGGGCATGCCTTTAGAGAGTCAGAACAGGCCCAATGAGTTATGGTAAGCTGTACACACACCAAAGGCCTAATTCCACAATCAAGACTACTCCAAGACTAAGACAGACAGTTCACGCTTCTCTCAGACATGCTAGCAGCAGAAGCATGAAAAAAGCACTGTGTGAGCTACATTTGAGCAAGACTTCCTCTTCTAACCATAACTCCCTAACCTAGAGTGTTTCTGCAGTGAAGGCAGGTTTCAAAACATTAAAGCAGTGTGTCTTATCCAGAGGATGCTTCTGTCTCCTTGGGCCAGCCTGCCATTTCCTGGCATAAAGCTGAAATGTTCCTTTTTTAAAGCCCATTTCACCTCACCAAGCACACCAAGGAGCTCCTCAAATATACACCATGAGATCATTAAGACCACAAGATCACTAAAGATAGATGAAGTATTCCCAAGTAAAGGAGGAAAACAGAGACAAGAGCTCTCCTAATAAAGGAAAATTCCCCACGAGTTACAAAGGTGCTCTCAGTGATGGCTGGAAATTCTATACCTTCACGCAGTCTCAAAAATTGGACCTAATACTGCAGAAGGGACTGAAAGGGAATAATCTTACCTATAACAGCAGAGACAAGTGTCATGCATGAAAATGCAGATTTTCTAGTACTGGTGTCACAGAAAGCGTCAGGACACTAGACATGACACAGTCACCTTCTCACCAGGTTCCCCAGCACCTTCGCAGGGAAATGCCTACTCATCCCTTGCAGAGCCTGGCTGACAGCAAAGGCAGAATGGAGTTCAGCTCCTTCCTCCAGGGCCAGCAGCCTTTCCCTCGCTCCAAGTGGCATGCTTTTGGAGCAAAACATGAAACGAGGGTGCATACTCACTTCCTGTGGGATCGGGCTTGATTGGCTCGAAGGAGGTAGAGGGGCTGGGTAGGACAGAGCTGCTGTCCAGCGAGGCAGAGGACTGTAGCGGCTGAGTATCTAACCCGACCGGCTGGCTGGCCGGTGCGGATGTGTTGCTGAGGGGGTCAAAGTTGACGCTGCTCTTGGACTCTGCTGCTGAGACACCGCATTCTGGAAAGAGCCAGACACACACACAGGAATGTCATCTCCCACCAGCACCAAAGCAAGCAGCTGCAGCAGAGACTCAACCCTCACTGGCAATGCTGGCCAAGCACAGAGAGCTGCATAGGAAGAAGGCTTCTTGCTTTCATCCAGTAAAAACTCGCAGGCCCTGCTGCAACTCTGCTGGAGAGCAGTCTTGGTGGTGTCAGGCTGCACATAAGCCAAGAACATGCTCTCACAGCAATTAACACAAGCCAGGTAGTAAGCTACACCTGGAGAAGTGTGGCCAACTCATTGAGGGAAGTTACTATCCTCCTGCTTGGGGCCGAGTCTGCACTTGGAATACTGTGTCCAGCTTTGGCCATCCTCCAGTTCAAGAAAGATGTGGAGAAGATCCAGCTGAGGGCTACCAAGTTGGCCAGGGGTCTAGTGCACATGGCCAACAAGGAGGGGTGGAAGGAGCTGGGCTTTGTTCAGTCAGGCAGAGAGAAGTCTAAAGGCAATCTAACAGCAGCTTGCAGCTACCTGAAAGGCAGTTACAAAAATTAAGAACTTCTCAGTGGTGCCAAACGATGTAACATGCACAACAGACAAGATGCAGCTCAAGGGATCCAGACGTCAGTAAAAACAAATTCGCTGAGAGGGTGCTGCAGCCCTGAAAGAGCTCACAAAGGAAGCTGCGCATCTCCACCACTGAAGGCTTTCAAAATTTGGTTGGACAAAGCCACAACCAACCCAATCCAGTATTTTTGACAGTCTTTTTTCAAACTGAAAGTTGAACTTGAGACTCAAAAAGACCCTTCTATAAACTTCTGCTAATCAACATATCTGCATGATCAGTCTCTACCCCACCACTGCTCCTACAGGCTGGCACTACCCCCTCAAGCCAAATGTCTTATTTTTATTAACACAGCCAGTCCCACTAATCAAGACAAAAGAAGCTCACTGCAGCAAAGGCAGAGGTGCCCCCTTTGCCAGAAGCTGCATGACCATGCTGCATGACCAGCAGTGCCAGCCCCAGCCAGGCCAAGGAATGTACTCTGTCAGCCACCATCCCATTTCTGCCTCCTGTAACCCCCCTCTCACCTGTGCTTGCAGCTTTCTGCATGGGAGGGCTATGGTCCTGAGTGCTGGTAGGTGTCGGTGTAGAGGGCTGGGTGCTGCTGGGAACGGATGCCTCCTGGAAGTGGGTGAGTGGTGGGATCTGCGGTTTTGAGGGTGCAACTGCCTGGCACTGAATGAGGTCTTCTGGGGGAGGGACAGGTAGTACGACAGGAGGAGAGCTCCAAGCATCTTTGTTTACTAAGAGAACATCAATGGGACCACTTGTGCTCTTCAGATGGATCTGATATTTCTTCTGCCCATTTAGGCCCTGAGAAAAGTCAAAAGCAAAACACAACCATACATTAAATGCCCTTTTCAAACAGAACAGGAATTTCTCAGAGGCAAGACATGCTGTTCGGACAGTTCAGCATGGTTCCACACACAATTCCCCTGACTCCCAGGACTATCCTCTCCCCTGGTGCTCCTGCAATTACTCACGTAATTCCAAACAACAGAACTTCCTGGCAGTTATTTAATATCTGGAACCTTCCTTGGATTGCCAGTTCCTCTGACTCCATCAAACCCCCTGACTGCCAACTCCCAGCCTGGTTAATCCAGCAACAACCCCTGCCCCAACACACACACTCCTACTCTCTGCCCACACATTTATCACTCACCTCAGGGATGGGAACCTCCAAACGCGTGCCTGATGGGGCTCGAATCGCAAGGAGGGTGTCTCCTGTGAAAACAGACTGGTCAGCACTCAGTGGGCACTAACTGTTCTGATGATAATTAAGCACTGACAAAGAGCCCCTCCTCAAAGCCCCCTATCTCCTGCACTCCCTTCCATGGAGGACTGCCATTTACACCCACCTGAGCTGCTAAGCATATTGTACAGCTCTCAATGTGCCAACTGCCCAGGGCACAAAGAACCTGTGAAGTTTCTCCCAAAGCAACCCTAAAGTTTTTCTGGCAGCATCCTTAACAGGACTAACCTTTCTTCCCCTCAGAAGGGCTGGCTTAAATTCACTCTTTCAATCCTAAGGGAAGGATCCTTCATCCTGTTGCCACAAGCTTTTAGATGTGAATTATTAACAAAAGATCACATAACTCAAAAGAGCTGTATTGCCAGCAGAGAGATGGTGTCGAACTAGGCTCAGAAGCCAGGCTGCCAAAAGCATGGCAGCCTCATCCTGGAGTCCCGATACGCAAAACCAACACTCCCCAGTCTCTACTGGCAAGAGAGCTGCCTGGTGATAGTTGTACTGGACCCTGCACAGAGCCCAGCACATGCAGGGCTGGGAGCCAGGCTGACAGCATCTTTCCTTTTCAAGTTCTGCAGCTCCTTAAGACCTGTGCCCCTAATAACGCAACAGTCCCAGGCGAGCAGCTTCCATTCCATACCCTGGTTTACAGAAATGTGAACAGAGAAATACCAGTGCTGTGAACATTAGATGTATTCAGACTGAGCAGTTAGCAGCTTTCACTTTGAATGTTTAAGCTTTAGTGTGGTTAGTATTCACACTTCACTGGTATTCTGCATTAAGCTTCACTTGATAATTAACACAGAAGATCCCCAGAGCGATGAGAGAGAATGGACAGCAGAAGAGCACATCCTTTAATTTCAGGCAGGCAAATAAAAGTCAGAACTGCAAAAGGTACAGGGATTTAAAATACCACAGGATTTCTCAATAAGATGGGATTCCTTTAACAAATCTGCACTTAAGAAAAATATTGTTAAAATACATTAAAAATGCATAATAAAACTCAAAGACACAAGCTCAAAGCTTTAAGACCTGTTAGCTTCAACAATACAGGCACTGCATTTCTATCTCCCTTGATAGCTATGTCCAAAATACTCTTACAAAACAGTGTACAGTATGTTTCCACTTCCTTTTTGATTCTGCAAGTGCAAAATGCATCACAGCAACAGACGGGAAAATTATGTTTCCCAGTCGGTAAAAGCTAACACATTCTCACTTTTTTTTAATTAACCCAAATAATGAATCTATATTTGATGAGAGTCCAAGCATGGAAATCTTCAAGCCCTAACTCACTTTGAGAAAGCAAATTCAATAGCAGTCAATCAGAAAAAAATAAAAAAAACCAGGAGCTGAAATTCAGCCTGCACCACAGTCCAAGAACACAAGAGGTCCAACAAAGAACCTCTGCAAGGCTCAGACACTTCAGAGAGGGGGGAAAAAAAAAAAAAAAAAGTAAGGCATATTCATACAGCAAAACTGGGCACACACTGGAAAATAGAAAAACGTGGATCAAGCTCTGGAAGGAATTCAGACCTGCCCTCAGTAAGATCTAATCCTCTCTGACCATTTTGGTGAAGTCTGACTTCAGATGCAAATTGGTTTACAAAAAACAGGTGCAATAAAATGCAAAACACTCAATCAACCAGGCAATAAGCTGTCTGCTGGTCTCCAGTAAACTCTTCCAGACTGTTACGAGTTATCTGGCCCCAAGCACTGTCAAACTGAAAACACAATCCCTGCCCCCAAAAAGTGTTAGCTTAAGTCAGAAGAAACAGTAAAGCAAAAGGGGTGGTGATGCATAAGTTACCAGCAGGAACTCAAGCAGCATGAAGCCTGGTGAACACAGAAAGCACACAAAGGCAAAGATGAAAAATAGAAGAGCTGATGAAGTGTAGGGTGAGAAGAGTGCTTGCAAGAGACAAGGAGAGAGTCGGACAAGGGTGAGATTAGGCATGGCTGGGGAGGGTCAGGATAATTAGCTTCAATCTCTGCTGCAAGCAAGCAGATGCGGGTTGCACAGGGTCAGGAGAGGTCAGGTGTCTAGTGAAGCAGAAAGGAGCTGCGACTCCACACCGCTGCAGCTGAGAAGAACAGTTTATGTGCTGCAGGGTGCTGTACTGCACGCTGGCCGTCGGGGATTTTTTTTTTTTTTTTTGGTCCTACAGCTATCATTAAAATTGGCAATAGAGAAGAAACAGAGACTCCTGTGAGTTTTCTTCACTTTTGCCCTACAGACACAGAACCTATGGCTTTTTATACAGGCACCTCACAGCTTTAGGAAGACAGTACATAAGGGAGTGAGGTCACAGCAAGCAGCGTATTCCCTTCTGTCCTGCTCTTCATTACTTCCTCCTTGCATTCTTGTTGGTAGAGAGCATGATGCAGCTGAGGGATCACTTTTTATACTATTTCCCTGCTTTCACCCAGATTTCTACCATGCAATAAAATTTGCTTTCTGTTAGTAGAACATTGCCTCCCAAGCCCTCAAAAGCTTCTAACACAACATATACACCCACATAGTGACAGCCAGCAAAAAAGACTTCCTTAGGAATAGCAGCTGTGTTCCTTTAAACACTACTAAAAGAAACTGCCTGCCCCCTCCGACAGTGACAAGAAAGCTACAACCCAGGGTGGCATCAGAGCTTGCACTACATTTAACTTGATGCTGTTGGGCAGCCCATGGTCCACTGCCTCCTCTTTTCTGAAGAAAGGACAGCAGCTGGGACAGACTGACAGGACTGCAGCTTTACATTTTTACGATGGAGCACCATTTCCTCACCTGTGAAGCACTTGCAGATGTCTTCATGTGTCACATACGCTAATGTTTCTGAGGTTAAGGAGAAAGGCTGCAGCTTCCTGAACAGACAGAGAACTCAAAGGGCACCTGGGGTTTCCTTCCTGAGCACAAGAAACGCCATTCCCAGAAGGGTCTCCATGCCACACTCTGAAGTGGTCTGCAGGCAAGGTCTGCAAGCTACATGCTCATCAGAGCTGACACCCTAAGATAGACAAGTCACAACAGCAGCTCTGCACTCGAGAAAGCAGCACCTGTGGCTCAGAGAGAAGCACTTTTCTCACCACAGTAAACATTACAGTGTTTTTTACTTCAAAAAGCTGTGCACCACAGAGAAAGCTGGTTCCCAGGCTGGACACGCTTACCCTAATTTCAAAGCCAGGCACTGCCCCTTGAGCCTTCCAGTGCAGATCATCCAGCAACAACAGGTGACTACCACCCCTCTGCCCTGAGCAGGGCAGCAACAACCCGGCCCTCAGGTCTCTGCTTTCCAGGCCAGCAAGCGAACAAGGAGACAGAGTAATCAGTTCACACAAAGGATATCGACTGTTCTGCACGTCTTCTGTAACGTTTTTGATGCTCTTCTTAACCCACATCTTCTGCTGCTCCAGCTCCTGTTCCCGCTGCTCCAGGTCCTCGATGTCTGCCTTCAGCTCGATAAGTTTGTGAGCTATTTCACGTGTGTTGCAGCCAGGACCCACCCCTCTGCACAAAGGAGTGGCATGCATCAGCGTCTGGAGGCGCCCAGACCAGCCCCAACCTCTTGGAGAGGTTGCCACCTCCCTTACTGCCACCCTCATCATATGTCAAGGCCAGATCACCTAGAAACCCTCATCTGTACCCTCTCTAGATCCCCGCCTTCCAGCACAGCAACGTTTGGTACATCTGCCTTTATCCCACAGACTGGAAGGGCTCTCCCCCATCTCCAGTGCCATGACAAGCATCTTTCCTAGCCCAAGGTACTGCAAATACTTAGTTTGTACCAAAATAACAGCTCTGCTGTAGAAGAGACACACCATACATACTTCGGCTTTCCTCATTACTGCCATCAGCCATAGCCCAGGTGGGGGAAGTACAAGCATGCACAGACCACCACAGAACCTTGCTCTGAGCAGGACATTTTAATCACAGTGTCACTCAGACAACAGCCTCACGAAGCCCTGCTTGCCTGAAGAGGATAAAGGCACCCACCCAACAGGCCCTGGAACTAGAAGGGGCCTGTGAACGATTTAGAGCTTCTCTGTCACTCACTTCCACTGGATACTGTTCTTGGATTTCTTCTCAATCAACCCAATGCCTTCCAGGACATTTGTGATATCATAGATCCGTCGCTTCTGTCGCACAGCCAAGGTATCTGCAGCCTGCAAAAAGGTTAGACACTTAACTCCAAACTCTCAGTCATGTTTCACTCCTTTCTGCCTGTCAGATTAATTCCTGGCCAAGCACTCTGCTTGCCATCTCATGCCTCTCTTGTCCCAGCACCTCAAATTACAAAGTTGTGTTCTCAATGTCACTATGACCATGAGAAGAAGCCACTGCCCCTTTGTTCTTTTTCTTACACAGCAACCTCCCCACTAAGCACAAACCAAATTCCAGCCATCTCGCTCACAATGGGTCCAAAAATCACCATTCCTCAGCAGCAAAGCATTGCTTGAAGACACTAGTCTGGCAGCCTAAAAATTCAGTGCTTCTTCAGGGTACAAGAGATGGGGATGGGAAGAGGAATGCAGAGAGCTGCCTGTGCAACTGACAACATCTTAGTGAAGCTGACATTCAAAAGGTTTTTCCAAATTTCATCTGATGCCGCTTGATAGAGAATCGACACCTTTTCAAGAGGCAGATACCTCTGTTTGAAAGGCATGATGCCAGGAGGAGAGTAAGCATGGCTGTAAGGGAAGAGCTCCTGAGCAGCCCTAGGACTTCCCTGCCTTGCTCACACAACTCTCCTCCACTCGGGTTTCGGGACACACTGGACTGCACCAATACACCTGTTTCCACTACCGCATGACAACCTAGCACCAGCAAGAGTTTAACAGGCGCAGCACCAGCATGCTGCATAGCCACGACCAGCAACATCAGTGGCACCACATACAGAGCAGATCAGCGTAGCCCTCTCACCTACCAGTAACAGACCAGGACTTTGGAGACCCTACACTGCACAACTGTTCAAATCATGCTAACAAATACGAATGCACTTAATGGATGTTTTAAGCAGGAAAATATTGCCCAAATACAAAGCGACAACAATTTGGCAGAGGAGAGGATGGAAGCCTACAGCCAAGAGACTCCTCCACCTCTTGCATCGTCAGGGCTTTCTGGCACCTACCTGCTGCCTGCAAAGGGTCAGAGTGCACTTGCACGCATACTCATATAAGAGGTATTTGTAGAAATCACAGCAAAGGAACTTCGCCTACAGAAAAGGCCTAGGTTTAAGTACCGTACGTGCCACAAAGACAGAGTTACTTCCTCTGCATGAATATCTTCAAAATGCAGAAGCAAGGCACATTCACTGGGCACTTCTCCACAGCCTAAAGGCATCAGGGACAACCTTTGGCAGAGATGAATCTGACCATACTCCCCTTCCTGCTGTATGCCAGGGCGCAAAAGCACAGGAGCGAGGAACAGTCTCTTCATTTCTATACATCTCAGAGCCTTTATAGGGCTAGATCAATTATGCTGCCAGTGATCAAGTAGCACCTTGGTGTGGGGCAAGAACGCAGAAGAGAACAAGACGGCCTAACGGGGTTCCAACTGAAGCACACAAACGCCTGCAACGTCAGGCAAGGTCCGCTGCCTCCTCTTCGCTGGAGAAAGCAGAGCGGCTGGGACAGACCGATAGGGCGGGGAGAACCGCTCAGAAGGAAGCAGCGGGAGGGCGCATTAGGGCGGCAGGTGCAGGGTCCCCTCTGCACGCCCTCAGCGCGGCTGGCAGCTCTACCGCACTCCCGGCGGCCCCCGGGGACCCCGCTTTCCCTGCACCTGCTGC